CTTCCTTCCTTCCTTCCTTCCTTCCTTCCTTCCTTCCTTCCTTCCTTCCTTCCTTCCCTTCAAATCAAAATGCCCAGTGTTTTTTTTTCTCCTTCCTCACTATTGTTGGTCCCTTGGTCCCCTCTCTCTGGGCCACTGCCAGGAAACAGACTCAAGATCTTGGGAAGAAACACTTTAGTCACCCACAGGTCCTGAGCAACAGATGACCTTCTTATCACCTCTTCTCCATGGGAAGGTGGCAAGATTTCTACCTAGATGCAGAGGAGCTTCTGGTACAGGGGGACCCCACAGATGTCCAGCTAAGGAATGGTTACCTGGGCAGGATCAGGGAGGAAGGATAGATCTTCGCATTGAGAAAGTTCCCCTTTGCCTTAGGTATTTATAAAAAGGATTTCATCTGTATCACTGACCAGTTTGTACATAAAAGATGAGTCAGTTTTTGCTTGGGTTTGTTATTTCTGTTTGGGAGATGGGGAGGAGGATTGGGCAATAAGAAACTGCATAGATTTAAACAAAGATCTACTGAAATCATCCTTAATTGTTTATGTATTTAAAACCACTTGCCTGGGAGGCTGAAAATGACATTTTCTATCTACCAATGTGCTTGTCCCTCAGCCATCTCTATGTTGTTGAAGGATTGTGAACAGAAAATTTATTCACTGCCGATATGTCCCTTAGATATTGGCAAATATATTGTGATAAAAAGTGGTCCAAAGTTCATGGTTTTGAGTGATCCTTGTTGTTTTTTCTTTTCTTTCGTGTGTGTGTGTGTGTGTGTGTGTGTGTGTGTGTGTGTGTGTTTCTTTGTTTTATTTTTTTACAATGCAAGGGGTTGGGGGATAGAACCCAGGTCCTCCAATGTGTAGGCACACTCTCATCACTGAGCCCCTACCTCCTGCCCCTGGGGTAGTCCCTTTCATTAAGCCCACCAAGGAGTGTTGGTTTTATTTCACAGGTGTTTGGCAGTGGAATTTGAATAGAAAAACATTAGATTCCACAGAGCCGCAGCCCTTAGCGTATTCTTCCCTAAGAAGAGATTCACTGTATAATTGAGTTGGATTTTAGCCATGGACTTTGAAAACCTCCCTTGAAGAGTCTAGTGTGGGGTCTTCATTTCATGCAACCCTCTCTGTCAGTGTGCTTTGCAGGGTCCCCCCTGTATCCTAGATGTTGGGTATTTAGGACAGAATGTCCTCAGGGACCCCAGAGCTATGGCAGAACTTGTAGGTGGTGTGAATAGTGTTTTCTGTGGATCTATTTGCTCAGGCTGTGGCCTTGATCCATCTCTTGGGTTTTCCCACAGTGGGAACCATTCCCTTCCTGGCTCTTAACAGCATTTGTAGGCTTGGAGAGCCCTATTCTTAGAAGAGACACATACTAGAGCTTAGGGTTTCAAACCTAAAGCCAAAGAGGGCACACTAGGGCTCTATAAACAGCATGCCTATATGTCACAGAGTACTCACACATGGCAAACCCAGCTCTCCTGAATGACAGACATGGCCTTGTGCCTCTGCCTATAAAATACAGCAGGTCTTTCTGGGACAAGGAACTGCTTCTCTTAAATTCCAGGAACAGTGTCCATTGTGTTCCTCCTTCAGAGTATTCCAGACTAGATGTGTTTAGGGTTGGCTCTGTGATGTTCTTGTTTACAGTCATGTGTGTGTGTATGTCCATGTGTGTATGTGTTTGTGTAGAATTAAAACTAATGTTTTGGCCCAGGTGTGGTGGTACATATTTGTAATTCCAGCAGTCAGGAGATGGAGAAGGAAGATTCTGAGTTTCCATCTAGCTTAGGCTGGATAGAACATGTCTCAGAGAAAGGGAGAGGGGTTTTAAAGTTGAGTACATCTAACACAAAGCATGAGGTGTCAAGGAATGGAGGGAAATGGAAAAAGTCCTTCCAACCTCAAACCATTTTGAAATTTCTATTTTTTAAAAGTATTTTTCTATATTGTGTGTTCAATATATTCTTCTCTTCCTCCTTCTCCTTTCTTTTCTCCCCCTCCATATAAGTTCCCTAGGCAGTTTCACTACTGCTTTTATTTAATGTGTATGTCCATGGTTTTATGTGACTATATAAAATTCAGTAACCACAAATGAGAGAAAACAGGATACTGGAGCCTGGCATCTTCAGTTGGGATTACACAAACATTCTCTATTTGTGGAGTCTGACTCCTGATTGCCTCTTACTGTGGTGATGCTTTGCATCCTTTTCCCTTTCCATAGTGATTTCCTGGAGCTGCTCATAAGAGTTTTCTGTTTTTTCCAGATAGAGCCCCTCACCTGGATTTTGTTAAAGCTTATTAAATCTGATCAAATAGTCTTACGTGTTTTCCCAGCGGGACCCTTTCTCCAGAGCCAAGATGAGGTTTCATTTTCCTGTTAGCTGCTGGTGTTTTTCCGTGCAAGTGGGCTCCTATAAGCACTTTCTGAATATGATATAGCATGCTCTGGTCAGAGGAGACCAAGCAGGCCAGGTGTGTGGGGAACAGTTTGTGAAAGCCAATGAGTTTCACAAATGTGTTCCATGATTAAAAGTTCTCGGCTTTCCCATTGGCAGTGGTCAGTTGTAACTGGAGGAGACCAGCGTGAGAGAACACTTTATTTCTGCATTATGATCTGTTGATGTGACTGCAAGCGGCTTGATAGAAGGGTGAAAATGCAGGTCTGTTCAGGGGTTACATCTACAGATGGTGCAGGGCCCACTGTGGTTTGGGTTTCTCAAGTTGGTGACAATCTGGCTTCATCCTGGTGATGTCATACCCATTTGAGTGGCCAGCTTAATTTCCAGTTTTCTCTCTTAGCTGTACTCTCATATCTTTGAGATCGGCTTCTGCCCCAGTGATGGATGTCTGCGATGTGGTCATTTCTGATCCTTCTTGCTTTTAATGTTTGATTAGGACTTGCCTTTAGAGTCTTTGATCACTTATCTCTTGCTGTTTGGATACCAAATGTCTCTTGACCTTTGAAAGAGCATGCTAAAAGTCCTAAGGCCAAGGCTGAGATGGCTCAGCAGTTGGGGGCACTGACTGTTCTTCCAGAGGACTTGAGTTCAGTTTCCAGCACCCACATGGGAGTTCACAACTGTCTGTAATTCCAAGATCTGACACCCTCACACAGACATACAGGCAGAAAAAACACTAATCTACATAAAATAAATAAATTATATATTTAAAATAGCCTAAGGGCTGTCTCTGGTAAGCTTCACTCTGGTTAGCTACGTTTGGGGAAGTGAAGAAAGAACGAAACCAAGAGTGCTCTCATTTGTGCTCTCCAGGGGATCTGGGGGGAGGCCCAAGCAGATGGAGTGGGAGCTAGTGGGGCCACTGCTCTGCTTGGCTGCACCAGGCATATGTCAGACATGTCACTGCTTGGGTGTCCATGCTGGAATGCTGGGGATCCCTTTTCACCTGGGCATCTCAGTCCTGCTCTCAAGATCCAACTTTAACTGCCACACAGGTGGAGGTGAAGTCTATAGTTCTCACAAACCCCATATTTTCCTACATTTCTCTCTCTGATTTATCTTTTAAAAAATCATGTCTGCGGCAAGGGGTTGTCAGAGGACAAATGGGGGAGTCAGTAAGCTGGTGCTTCTCTTACATCAAAAGCTGATAGTGCAGTGCCTTGTGAACTTTGTGGAGTTTGTGGATGTCTAAATTGAATATTTTACCTCCTCCTCCCTTCCATCCTACCTAAAACATGGCTTCTCCAAGGGGGTCACTATTTCAGCCTATGGCAGCACCATTACTGCCTGGATGTCCATGATATGACCTGGGCATCTTGGTCCTATTCCCAGGGCAGTTCACACATTCGCCTCAGTGTGCTGTGAGGTGGGCAACCAAAGTCCTGAAGCAGCCGAGCTACCTGCATCTTTTTAAAAGTCTTCATTGTGACATTTCCAGTGAACTGTTGAATCATGTCATAAACATCTCTATCCCATTGTTCACTCTTCTGATTTGTATTATGTTTCTCAATATACAGTTGTTTTGCCTGTTTTTACTGAGCTGTTTGGAAGTAAGATACAGACATCATATTGTTGATGTCGAAGAAGATAACCTTGAGTAGGAGTCTTGTCTAGATAAGGGTATCCTCTTCACTCTCATGGCCCCTACTACTAGAAGTTTTAGCTCTAGTTCCCCTCATATCTTCCCGGAGGCCTATTCTGATTTAAGTCTGCAGCTTGTTGCAGAGGTGCCCGCAGCCACCATTTCTCTTTTCTCTTCAGGTCTTCTGCCCTCCCACCCCTACTCTCCTCAGGTCTGATCTCCACCCTTATTTCTATTTGTGATCCCTCTTTTACCTTATCTCCACTCTTCAACCACTACCTCTGTTTATTCTATTTCCCCTTCTGAGTGAAATTTACTCCTCTTCCCCTGGGTCCTCCTTGGTACTTGTACTCTTGGGATCTGTGCATTGTAGCATGTCTATCGTGTACTATATGACTAAAATCGACTTATAAGTGAGTACAAAAAGGAGGAGGAGGAGGAGGAGGAGAAGAAGAAGAAGGAGACAACGACCCACATTCTCAGGGATGAGGATACAGCTCAGCAATCCAGTGCTTGCTTTGCATGTACAAGGCCCTGGTTTTAATCCTGTTAATGGGCAAAACACACACGTATACATAAAATAGAAAAATAAAAAAAAAAATAAAGAGAGGATGTTTGGGGTCCGATAGATTCTTAACAGGCCTTGCTGTTAAGAATGCTTACTATTCTATCAGAGGACCCAAATTCAGATCCCAGTACCATGTCAGGTGGCTTACAATCAAGGGCTCCTACACCTTCTTTTGGCCTCTCAAGACCACCATACACACATTCATATTCCTACACACATGTATACATAACTAAAAATAAGATTGCTCAAATTAAAAAGAACCTTTAGTTAAAAAGACAAAAGAACAGTTGCTGAGTTTCTTAAATACAAGGAGACACTACTGGCATAGGAGGTTGTGTGTGTGTGTGTGTGTGTGTGTGTG